TAGGAGGACAGGCAAGTTTTGGACTGGAGTAATGGCAGCAGGGTGAGCGAGAAGTAGATAGGTCTGAAGATACTAAAGCACAACAGAACCTGGTGATAAAGCAGATATAGTATCAAGAGGCAGTTCAAGAATAGAGCCCAGCTTCTGTCTCAGGCAGGTGGTGATGAAACTGTTCCCTGAAGAGATTGCACGAAGAAAGAGCAGGTCTGGGAGGAAGACAGTGTGTATTAAGTTTGAAGTGCCTCTGACATTCAAGTTCAGAGCTGGCTGGTCTGTGTTTGAAGCACAGGCAAGAGATCTGCCACAGGGAGAGACCATGACTGATCCCCATGTAGATAATAGAAACCTCCAACCTTCCCAGGGAGTGTGTGTATATGATAACAGAAGGCTCCTGAGAGAATGCCAGGATAGTCTACCTTTCCCTTTATTCAGGACTTGTCCAAACAATCAGCTTCCTAATAATTACACTCTTTGAACAGCATCTTTAATAGCTTGGACAATGTTATCTCATATAGATGTACATTTACTTAACCAGCCACGTAGTTTTTCCTGTTAGTTTTCACTGATGTTTTACTATTTTTAAAAAACGCACAATGAATATTTGCATTCCGCAAAATTAGTTCCTTGGGATGTTAGAAAGCAGTATATAGGAAAAAGTGTTCCGTGGTCGATAAATGTATTTTGGAAACCTTGATTTAAAAAACTATTCAGTAGGTTCTTTACTGTGATTTCTCAAAGCCTTAAATATGCTACTCTGCCCTGTGACTCTCCAGGAGGGGTATGCTGTGGTTTGTTTATACCTTTACTAAGCCTTGGGCCATGACAGGCTTTTGGAGGGAGCGCTTTCAGGACTAGTGACCACAGAACAGTTTCATAGGATATTAACCTATATGTAAAAGCTGTACCAAATTTCAACACATAGTCCCAGAAGTTGAATTATCAAATTAACAGGAATGCATGTTTGTGTTCTTGATGCACATGTCAATTACCTTTCCCAAAGGCAAGTACATTGCTGATGGGAATGTAAATTACTCCACATACCTGTTTCACCATACCTCCCCACTTCCCCAAGTGTGATCATGAGTCGTTTAAATCTGATCTAATTTGGTAATGTTTCTGTGACTACAGAGAGGCCCAGCATTTTTCCATGTTGTTGATTACTTGCTGCTTCTTTTGTGAATACCTTCTCAGGTCTTTTGCCTATCTATTGGAATCTTAGCTATTCTTATGAAGATAAATGGTCTATTTTTATAATCAGGTTTTAGTACAGAATTTCATATACTTATGGCAGCCATTTTCCCAAGTTCTTATGTATCATTTATTTTTTAGCTAAGTTCTTTTTGAACACGTGGAACTTCTCCATTTTCATGGGTCAGTTCTTTAAAGCATTTCTTTTTATAGTTTTTTTCCCACTGTTTTTAAGCTTAGAAAGTCCTTTTATAAAATTTTATCTAGACACTTAATAATCACTTCTTGTTTTTTTGTTGTTATTAACATTAACTCGTAACTCCTCGGGTATTTATATTATTTATATTAATTTATCTTGCTGCCCTCCTCCCCGCGACAGAAGAAACTAACCAAGTTTTACAGCACTGTTTTCTGAATTTTCCCTTCCAAATTAATATATTGTGCCCATACAATGTTTAATAATTTTTATGAAAACAATTTTATCTCCATTTCCTACATTAGCAAATTGAGATGAATGGCAATTTATTAGGGTTCAGTTACTCGGCCAGTTTCAGTCTTGAGATGAGTATATACTGTGATGTTAATGTGATGAAAACCATGACATTTATACACTTACACTTAATTTGATGTTGTGATAAAAATTTCCTTCCTTGAAGCTCATGGGAGAGATTACTGAAAAGAACACAAGACTAGAGTGTTTAAAGGAATTTGAAAATTAAAATGAAGAAAGGAACGTTAATAATCAGTGGTAGTAATAAAAGCAGCCACTTTATAAACATTATTGGTTTAATTCTTACAATCCACTTTACAGCTGAGGAAGCAGAGACCCCGAAGTTACTCCCTCCATCTCTGAGAGCTGGGACAGGCAGAGCCACCACCACTTCCAGGGCTGTTTATCACCAGCCCTGCTCTAGTTGGGGTCCGCGGATAGTTTTAGGACTCCCCAAGGAGCCTTCTTATTTAGATAGTGTCTGTACTTAAGCGAAGAATCAGCATCCTAGTTCCCCACTTGGACATTTATAGGGTAAAAGGAGGGACAGACTTAAAAAGTGCATTGCTGAAAGTTTGTAGGCAGGTAGCACATCGAAATTCTCTCCTCCAAGACTGAACATGGGAGACACTGCAGGTGAAAAAGTAAGTGTTCCTCTCTGTGTGGGAACGTGGGTACCAAGGGGTCACCTCACTGTGGGTCAGAAGGTAAGCCCTCTTATCTGCTCAAGCTCCTTGGCTCAGCTAACTGCACGTGAGCTAGGATTTTCTCAAACGTTCTTTCTCTGCAAGTTCACAGGGAAATTTCAAAGCAATTCCTCATTCCTTTGCCGCAGCTTGAGTTTTCAGGCAGTGATGGTTCATTTTTTAAGCCCGCGTGGCCCGATGCTGAGACAGCATCGCTCTGCAGACAAGCAATTGTTTGTTCCCGGAGCAGGATCTGTGCCTTCAAGTGTACTGGCTTTGCAGCTCCCTGGGCTGATCCTTTCTCAAGTCCCCCGGGAGGCACTTTTGTGGCAGATTCCATTTGGTTTCAAAGGGCCTCGAGGAGGGGCGTCGGGGCTGCTTGGCGTGGCCCCCCAATCTCCCATGTTAGGAGCAACTTGCCAGCCGCTGGCGGAGGGAGCGCGAGCCTGGCCCCGAACAGTCTGCTCCTGTCCCCACCCGACCCCCATTGTCTGCGGGATCGGGCGTCTTTTCCCAGCTGACCTGCCTGCGAGTGGAGAGATGTGAAAAGTTAGAGACAAAAATGGTCTCTACAGAGTGAGGGGGAGCTTTCTTGTACAGAAAGGAAGGAAATACCTCTGTGGGATTTTATTCCCCCCCCCTTCATCCAAAAAATACAAAGAGGCTCTCTGTCTTTAATGCGAATGTCGGCTTTAAATCTTTTAGGTTTGGATTAACTCTGCAAAAGAAAAAAAAAATCTGACAGGCTTTCAGATATGACGCAGAAAAACTTCTTTCCCTTCAATTCATGGCGTTCATTTGCAAAGTCAAAGGCTGGTGGACTGAATAGTGGGCGCCAGTCTCCCCGTCATAGTTAACATTACAATGGTCAGAATTAGCGGCCTCCTTCACCACCAGTGGACATTTAATACAGGGTGGCAAAGGCAAGAATAAATCTTTCTTCTCTTGCCCCCAAATTAAAAGAGATTATAAAATTAAGCCAAGTAAAAGAGGTATTTTCAGTTACATGACTTAGAATCTCATCTTACCTTTTTCCCGTAGAAGGAAAAAGAAATGTGCCATTTTGCAGTCATTACCTAACTCAAAAGCTTCCTTCCAACTAAACAAAACGCACTGACTTGATGGACATTTCCTATTACACAGTTATTGTTGGTTTTCACTATTGAGGATGTCAGCAAGCATGTCGAAGATCATGTTTTGCTTATAAAATAAAATGACTTTTATGTGAATATCTTTCGTCTTGGTGGTATCTACAATGTGGGTGCTATTCCATTGAATCCACGTGGCAACATTTACTTTCTGAAATTTTGGGTAATAGCATGTTCTTATTTTAACGTGTTCAGAGCTGTGTCAGCCTAGATAGAGGGAAACCTGAGTATCCTCGTACCAAGAGTCCGTATCAATAAGCTTGTGTTAAGGTAGAAAAAATTTTAAACAGCAGCTCCTGGTCTCCAGATGAGAGTCAAAATGAATAGGTAATCTGAAACACAACTTAAAATTAGTAATCTTTGTATTTGATAAGGATTGATTGATTAGGACTGTTTATGTGTAATTGTGAACCTGCCTATACGAATTAAACTCTCAATCATTTTTAATTCCTGACCTGGTTAAAAAAAAAATTTCTTGCATGAGTTTTAATGGGATGTAAATGTGTGTGCATTAGTTGGCTACTTCAGAATGGGGTTATAACAATACGTTTATGGATTTAAATAGGTACTGCAAATTTATTCTTGATAAACAAATAGACTCGAAGTGAAGCAAAATACCCCTTTTGGTTTTATTATATGACACTATCCCTTTTAAGCTCTAGTAATCTAATTGCATTATAAAGGGAATTTTTTATTATAATCGCAAATAACTAATAGAATTTGTTGATTTTTATTATAGAATCATTTTCTTTGCAACCCCAAAGGCTCTGATATAGCAATTTGGGATTTAATACAAAGGAATGCTTAAAGTTATTTTAATACACTTTTATTTGGGTTTTACATACTAAACATTTGGCTTGACTTTAGCAATAACAGGATGCACCAAAACAAGTTATGTAAATCTTTGAACAAAAATTAATATTATTCCTATCTAATATCAATTGTTATTTTTCATAGATTCCTTAATTAATTTGTTTATACTGTATTCGTGAGTTATCTGGATGATCTTTTAGTATCGTGCAATATTTTAGAAAAGTAAATTTTTATGTGCCAGAAACAGTAAATGTAGTTTTTAATTAGGATTGATTTTAATGTTGTATTATAAGAGAATTTAATCCAGTATATGTTTGAAGTTTGCTCAAAAAGATAAATTTTTATATTCTAAGTTATAAAAGGTCAAAGTTTATTACTCCATTATTTTGATCACAGTAATAAAAATTTCACATAAAAATATGAAAAGATTTGGCACATGGTAAAACTTTGTTGTATTAGCTACTTGAAGGAAAAAAAGAAATGTAGTAAATGCATGTTTTAATAAATTTGGCTTTTAATTCCAAATATTTCACAAGTTTGAATTCAGAGTTATTGTGTACTCTCTTGCAGAATGAGATTCTTAAAATTATTTTACTTGAAATCATATAAAAACTAAACATGAGTGATGTATTTCTTGGTTTTTAAAGTAATACTGTTTCTGATGCTTTTACTCAGGCAGCCATGTTGTTCAGTTCCGGAGTCTTTTGGACAGGCCTGTTATTTATCCCTGTGGCATCTTTGCTTCTTGACGTGGTGTACAAAGTGTAAGTATAATGCTCCGTTATGTCATTAACAACACAGATGCATATTAATCCTCACATTTCTCTAGTTGTAACGTTAACTGTAGTGTAGAGCTTACAGAATAGGAATTAGTAATATTAATTCTACATAAAGAAGAAAGGAGTGATTGAAGAACTAGAAAACTAAATTAGTTTAAAAGAGCGAACAGAAGTAAAGCAGGTAGCTTCAATTAACATTTTTGTTAATCAGCCTGAAAAACCCATTCAAGGTAGAAGAAAAAATTCTTTTACCTCCAAATACATATATATATAAATTTTTAGTGAAAAGTAGTTGTGAAAGGGAATTTTTGCTTGCCTGATTCTAAACATGTATAAAACAGAATAGAAGAAACTACAACTTTACTAATCTTTCTCAAGGATTATAAGTTTTAAAGTGTCCTCTCTTCCCACAAAAAAGATATCATTAAAGTTAGTTAATATGATGCTTATTTAATAACTGAGAGTTTTAATATTGTAAACGTAAACCATTTATTTTATGACTATTGTTTCTATAATTATATTAATGCCCAGAATTACTGTAGTCTTTTTTTTTTTTTTTAATAAATTTATTTATTTATTTTTGGCTGTGCTGGGTCTTTGTTGCTGCGTGCGGGCTTTCTCTAGTTGCAGCGAGCGGGGCCTACTCTTCGTTGCAGTGCACAGGCTTCTCATTGCGTTGGCTTCTCTTATTGTGGAGCACAGGCTTTAGGTTCGCGGGCTTCAGTAGTTGTGGCACACGGGCTCAGTAGTTGTGGCTCCCGGGCTCTAGTATGCAGGCTCAGTAGTTGTGGCACACAGGCTTAGTTGCTCCGCGGCATGTGGGATCTTCCCAGACCAGGGCTCGAACCCATGTCCCCTGCCTTGGCAGGCAGATTCTTAACCACTGCGCCACCAGGGAAGTCCCTACTGTAGTTTTTTAGATTCTATGGAAAAATTGCTTGTACACTGGTTACTGTTGTACTTAGCAGCAGCATGACCAAAACTAGTTTCATAAAGTCTGAAATCTTCACACGAATACTTCTACCCTTTTTTTCTTTGCAGTATCAAGAGGACTGCTTTTAAAACATTAGTGGATGAAGTTCAGGAGCTGGAGGCAAAATCTCAAGACCCAGGAGCAGTTGTGCTTGGAAAAAGGTAAAATATGCCCTGAATATGTTCTTTTCCAAGTGAACTTTAAATATGTCTTTTGCTAGTGGTTGGAAATAAGCAGTTAAACTTGTGTTTATCTGTTAACATGGAGCTAGCAGTGTCACTGACAAATTTTGCAGTCAGAGAGATGCAGATTCAGATCAAATCTTTCTTCACTAAGCTGCAGGTGACCTTAGCCAAGTTGCTTAGTGCTGCTGAGCCTCAATTTTCTCATCTATACAATGGGAGTGATAATACCTCCCTCATGGCCAGTTGTGAGAATTGGATGCAACACTGTGGATAAAGCAGGTGGCTTGCCATCTGGTGCTTAATGAGCACTCAATAAATGGTAGGTACAACTAGAGTTTATTATTAAACTGAAAAAGAAAAACAATAACACAGTAGAATATAGTCAAAATCAGAGCTTGACATAAAGTCAGCTCTCCCACAGTTACCTTTGTGGTTCAGTACATTGTTAGGAACTGACCTGGGCATATGTCTGTCATATATGAAGTCAGTTATGTCTTCCAAGTCCTCCTTACCGCCCCCGCCCCCCAAAAAAGCAAGGTTAGAAAGCTAATTGAATTGACTAAATTTCACAAAACATTATAGAAAAGAATTTAAACTTATATGAAAGCACTCCGTGATACACCACAGTTATGAAGAAAATACGAGGAATTTATTCTTTCTGTCCTTCATCACACTAAAGTGAGCTAAAGTTTTGTCTCAACCATAGGAAACGTTTTGCCCTGGTCTGTGTCACCTTCATCGTGGTTCACTGTTGTTACTCAGTTTGACACAGTGGAGTGTCAGACTGGGAACTCAGGCTGAGACCTTGGCTTCCAGCCCTCTCGTGCTCTCATTAGGCCGAAGGAGCACGTCACACGCCAGTCCGTGCCTCTCTTAAAAATAACAGCACTGGCATCTACGGGGCATGCACCACGTGCTGGGTGCTGCACTCCTCACTTCACAGGTACTATTGCATTACACTCCTGCAACAACCCTGTACAAATCCATCATCCCCAGTTTTTCCAGGTGAGGAAACCAGGGCTTAGACAGACCAGGTTCTCAAGGTCAGAAGTGACCACGCTGGGCCTTGAGCCCATGTCAGTTGATTCTAGAAACCCTGTTGCTAACCATGCAGTATTCTGCCTCCTGCTGCTGCTTTTCAAGAACGTAGGATGGCAGCAAAACTAGCCTGCCACTAACATGACAGTTCGTAGCCTCTCCGAGTCGGTGTCCCTGTGTACCTGATGGGCTGCTACCTTTGCGGTTACAGGTGTAGCTACTCCTGCCTCCACCTTCTCCTCATCTCTTCCCTTCACCTCCAAGTCAACATCTATTCTATTGCCTTTCATAACTAGTTCCTCAGTAAATGTTTTTTCCCTCTTTCACTCTAGCTGTAAAAAGGATCTGGTAAGAGTTCTAGCTCACAAAATTGTGAACAAAAATATTTATTCACAATTATTAGGGAAAGTCTACCGATGGCACTGTTACTACCCTTAGTAAATTTCTCCTATTTGTATGTTAATAAAACCTACGTTAAGTCCCTCCATGTGATACTGGTTCTCCATTGTTTATAGTATATCGGTGACTTCAACAATTCATAAGTCAGGCTGAGGGTTCCTTGTGATGACCTCTGACCTCTGGGTCCTAAAGACCTGAGTCTGTGATGTGTGTACTCCCTTACATTAAATAAGTTAGAGAACCTAGAAGGAAAGAAGTGAATTCCGCCGTAAATGACAACCAGCTTCTCCAAGAAAAGGCATCTGATAAATTTCCTGCTGCTGCTCAGCTCATTTGCCTAAAACCGCTGTTCAGCTTTTCTTAAGGACTCAGGACTAAGTTAGGTGTTAGCTGAATACCCCAGACAAAAACCCCTAGTACAGTAGGGACCCTGTGTTGCCATTGCTGCCAATCGGTGAAGAGAAGGATGGCGATGGTCAGTGCGGCATGGTGTCTCCCTGCTAAAGGGTAGCTAGAGGAAGGGGGAGAAAAAGATCTGTGAAAGGGGAAAAGTAGCAACTGGTTGGAAAAGTCTTCACACCAAACTACATTCTAAGGCAGTTTAGAAATTGTCAGATTGATTTTATTGATAGAACTCTTTCAGAAACCTTGGAGAATAAGACTCACGTCAAATTTCAAAAACCTAGCTAATTTCATCTGCATTTTTCAAAGAGGAAGAAATAGTGATTTCTGTGTATTCCAGTGATACCAGGCTTCCCTGAGTGCCAAAACACCACATTATTTTACGCCTCCCGGTCTCCACACGTGCTGTTCCTTGTCTAGAGATGGTACCCTCTTACAGACTGGGTAATCCAATTCCTAGCTTTCAAAACCCAGTCCAAATGCAATTCCCTCAGCTTTACACAGATAAAATCAATTCTTATTCTGCTATCTCTGTATCTTGTTGGTTCTTCTGTTTTTACGTTCATTGCATTATGATACAGTGTATTTGTTCGCCCTTTGCTTGTTCGTCTCCCCTACTAGACGGAGCTCCTTGTAGGAGAGGCCTCTGTCCTAGTTTTAACTGCAACCCAGAACCGGCCACAGAGCCAGGAACATAGTAGCACTCAGTCAGTATTTGTGGAGTGGATGAATGTATGGCCAAGAGAGTTAACTAAGGAATGAATGAACGAACGAATGAAAGGGTGGGTGAAAGGATAGTTGAGTAGTGGGGTTGACCTGTGGGTAATTAAATTAAAATGTGATAACAAAACATAGAAGTATATAGGTTACACTTCCCAAACTAGTAACGCCTAGCGTTAATGATTGTTTACTTTTTTTGTCATAGAATGATGCAATTCTTAAGAAAGATCTTGTGGGTTGATCATCCCAATTTTTTTAATCTTCACTAAGCACTACTATGAAATCAAGCTAGATGTAAAGTGAAACAGTGTCAGAGAAACTATAACTTACTTGTAAGCACTGTATCCAGATTAGTATTTATAAGAATTTATTTCTCATCTCTACTCATTTTCAAAAATTGAAACACCTTGGTTAAAAGAATTAGTCCTTTTTATAGAAATAGTATGCCACTTATCATAATTTCCAGCAAATTAGATATATTTTCATTTTACATCGAAATTTTGAGGAAAAAGGTATGTGTCATCGTTTAAGTATATTGCTTTTGAGCCATGGGTTATGGTAGAAATCAGTTTAAGTCTAAAAAATTGGGAGAATAAAGCCAAACCTTATTCCTAATACTGTGTGGCCATGGCTTATTTTTGTGTGTTAAGAAAATGCCTTTAAGCTGTGAAATCCTGTTCTTTGCTTTTACTTTATGTGGACATGCTCCAACACTAGGTAGCCAAAGCATCTTCATTCCCAAAGTCCAAAAAGCTTTGAAATTCAATTTTTTCCATAGGCTTATAGCAAAATTTGCTGGAAAAACCAAAACAATTTGTACTATAAATATAAGGACATTGATCGTGTTTATTTTTCCACATTGTAATATTCCTGTATTTTATAGCAGAAATATTAATTTTTCGAATATGGGCCTCTAAGGTCCCACTTGGGAGTATAACATCTACACATTGTGTGTAACATATTACTTTTTCTAAAACAAAACAAAACAAAACAAAATGTGAATTCAAAATCCCAAAGATTTAAAATAAGGGGTTGTGGACAATGGGCTCATTAGAGACAGGGCAGTTATTACTGGATATCTTTCACGTGTGTGTGAAGCAGTGCATCTTATAGTAAGGCAGTATGAATAATGAGTCTCATAATTTTTTGTATCTAACTGTAGATATTAGCCAGCATATCATCATCAGCCTTTACTAAATAGAATTTTAGCCCAGGATCTTCAGGTCAGTCCTTATTAATTTGTCCATCACCACTGTGTGGCCCACAGCCTTAGCTTTAAAAAAGACAGTAGGGAAATATGGATGTCAGATCATTTGGTCATGGGGGTGGTGATGGTGTTCTCTCCCAGCTTTTCTCTGTATTGTTTATCTTAATGAAAAGCAATTTTAACATTGCCCCAGAACTAATAGAAAAGAAACTATATTTTTCAATTTTCACCTGGGTTTTATATCAGGATTACATAAATTTCTTTGAGGCTGGGGCGGAGGCGCGGGGTTGGGGGGAGGTGATTAGGGTAGGAGGACATATCAAATGTTTTCCCCCACAGCCTACTCTCATCCCTGTGATAAGGGTTCCATCCAACATTTGTAAAGAAACGTGACAGAACGATGAAATACCTCCTCCAGAGCAGAGATTACTTAGGCTTCTTATATTCATCGTTCATCTCCCCACCATCACTGCCTACTACAGGACAGCTGTGGTATGCTATGCACTAAAACATTTCATGAATGAATGAAAATAGCTTGGCAACCCAATAAAAAAACAAATGCAAATTGACCACTCTTCAAAGATAACTGAAATGCCTTAAGAAAACATGTTCTAGGACAGTAAATGAGTTTTTACATTTTTTTTTTTTTAGTATTTCTAAATGAAATTTGATCTTAAAACGTAGTATATTTCCACCTCACCTCACCAAATATCTAACTTGCAGCGTTTTAACAGGCTTGGAAATAACGTAAGTGGTCGTTGTGTGATTGCATTAAATAAATGGAAAATTTACATAGCTTGGTATGTATATGAAAGACCCTACAAATTGAGTAAAACTACTGAACAAGAGTTGTGAATAAGTTGTGGTTTTAGTTAGAAGGTATCCTAGAGTCTTTTTTTCTTCTCACACTGTGTTAAACTGTTCAACAAAAACTAAACTTTTAACATGTCTATTAATGTTAACATGTTACCAGTATATTTTATAATGTGGCTTGATAGTGATAACAGTACCCATTAACATTGATGGCACAGAAACTGCATAACTTTGAAATGATGAGTAGTTCTCTAAAAGTGGGATAGGACTAGAGGAATACAAATCATCATCAGTTATTATTTATTAAGCACCCTCCCATGAACTGCATTTATATTCTGAGGAGGGAGTTTTTGTTCTATCAAGAGGTCTGATATAGCTAAGGCAAAAAGCAAAACAAAAAACAAAAACCTAGTAGTTTTCCTAAGGAAGTGGAGTGAGGGGCATTATAAGTTAAAACTCATGTTCAGCAATAGACTTCTGTTGAGGTAATGTTGAATATAAACCAAGGCATCAGAAATAATCCTCACAGAGTATCTTTTGTTTCATGATGATCTCTGTTCTAGTTGGGTTTTTTTAAATAATAAATTCCTTGGGATCTGGGGGATGGTAAGGGTGGGAAGAACTCGTGCTTCTAAATGTTGAGTTGTTCCTGAGTACCAGTAACTGTGGTTGAAGCTATACAACTCCCTGAATCCTCCGTCAGCCGGAGGTTAGGAATTGTCCTCCTGTTCTCCATGAGATGTCCAAGAAAGGTTGCCTAAGGTGACCCAGCTAATAAGTAACAGACTCAGAATTAAACCAAAGTAAGACTGCAAAGCCGAGGCTCTTTCCACCATAGTGTGCTTCTTTCCCCAGAAAGAGACTTTCTGGGGTATTTTTTTTTAACACTAGACATTAACTTGATGTAACAGCTGAGTGATAAACTAACCTTACGTGAACCATTACAAAACAAAATTACATTATCTCATATATTTAGGTTGCCATAATATGAAAGGGGCAATTCTCACATCTGCCTTCTTATCGCTTCCATAATTGTAATATTAAACTATCACATTGTAGTATTAAAGTATCATGCATTCAGGAAGGCCAGCCAGAAACCTGGAAAATGTATTTTGGAAAGAAGCAGCTCTATCATGATACATTGCCGTCCTCTAGTCTTCTGTAGTCATTTCAGTTTTAAACACCAGAGACTTGCCAAGCACCCCATCCACGATGCTCTGCTAACAACATCAGACCACCTGCTGCTAAAGCTGCCGACTTCCTCAAAGCCGTTACATATTTTAGTGTCCCTATGAGTCCCCGGGTCTGTAACGGTAGATCATTTTAAGAGCAAAGTAAGAAAAGTCACTCTGTAAAAATGGCTCCTTCTCATTCCCCATATCTGTTTATTTCACTAGCAAAAGCAAGTTTTACAAATTTTTGCAAAACCACTGGAGTTTTAAGATTAATTAGCTTTCTTGCCTTAATTCCCAATGACAATAAAATATGTCTAATAAATAGCAGTTAACACCCCTAGACTTTTCAAAATGTGTGTAAGACTACTACAAATGTCAACATTTCTAAATATTTTATTTCAGCAAAAGCCTAAATGTTTGTGTAATTACAATGAGTTCGTTTTGCAGATGATCCTTTTTTTTGCATATGATAAACATTGTTCCCTTTCGGGGTCTAAAAAAATTGGCAAAATACAGAACTAACATAACTTACAGCAGTTTAACTAAAGCTTAAAAGTGGGGAAACTAAAAGATGGAAATTTGTCCACTGAATCAATTCCAGTGATTAAAACAAAATTGCATAAACATTTGCTGCAACACATGTGGATTATTTATTAGCTCTTCATGCTTGTTATGTGTTTGATATCAAAGCAAAGTTTTATAAATCAACCAATGGAGAAACGGCATGATTGGGAGGATTGATGATGTTTAAAAGTGCACTTTGGAATTATTACTCAAATTCATTTATCTGACAAGTATTTGACTCCCTACTGGGTGAAACACTGTTCTGTGTGCAGGGGAGAAAAACAGATGCATTATTTCTTACATTCTGCTTTTAGAAGTTACATAATTACATGGGTTTGTTTCTGCAGAGAAGATTCTTCTAAACGTTTATTGAAAAATGTGTTTTTTCTTGTCACTTTACCTAGTAAATTATGTTCTGAAAACAGCTTTTTTATTTTAAAATGAAATTAATGAACACATTTCATACCATATTAGAGTGGTAATGGAATTTTTCTAATTAAAAAGTCTGTGAAATTTCTTCTCTGCATAATTTTTCAGATTTTTCTGTATAACTAAAAAAAAATTATTTGACACCAGAATATGTGCAAAGTAGGAAAAAGGCATAGTAATGGTTAATTTTTTTAATTCTAAAATGCCATGCTTGCCATATGTAGTAAGTCTGAATTCCAAGATTTTAGAAGCCACTAACACAACTGGTAGAGTTTGTATTTTTTATTAATTATATTGTGCAGGTTCTGTGTCTGTATTTGACTTAAATATAACTGGGGGTGGGGAAATCTTTTGACTGGGCTACTGGGGACAAAACTCTCCTTAGCTGTCAGGGGGGGAAAAAATGGCCTCAAAAGTATCCAGTACTTGAAACCTCATTTGCTGTCTGAGAAAATGGGGTTGAAATAATCACTGGACTCCGGATTTCTCAAGCAATCTTTTGTGTCAGTCTGACTCTCTCTGGTGGTCCTGTGGGCACTCTGGGTTCTCCACCGAGTTGATAATTCATTTCACACGTTTGCACCTGTTCTGCAGCCTCACGGAGAGGGCGCAACTGCTCAAGAATGTCTTTAAGAAGAACCACGTGAACTTGTACCCATCAGAATCATTGCAACAAAACCTGCTCCGTAAGTATTTGAGTTCTATTTTTTAAACACATCCTCTGCCATTACCTCATAGGATCTGAGAGCAGTATTTTAACTTTAGAGATATTTAACTATTTACAGTTAACACCTAGAACAAGTTTTGCACATTTGCAACATGTTATGTAAATAACAAATGTTTAAAGAATCCTTTGACCACAGCCATCTCACTTTCAGCAAAAGAGATAGAGCATTTGAAAATCTTGCTGCTTTCACTTCAAGAAAAACATTCCTGCATGCCCCTTGTTTCCTTAAGTCTTAAAAAGAACCGGTGAAATAAATCTTAACTCTTAAAAGCTCACTCTGTATTGTTATCTTTCCTACTTGAATAACTTTGCAAGAGCCTTTTCAGCTTTCATACACAATGACATGTATGTGAAACATCGCACAATGAAACATGTATTTTCCCCTTCAAAAATATTTATGAATATTTAGAGTTGTAAGAAATTATTAGGTATCACACCCTCTTAACATTTCAAGGATCTAAAAAAGAATATAATATATAAAGCCCTGTGGTAAATGTATGTGTGTTAGTAATATATCATTTGTTTCATGTTATTTCCACATGTAATTTATTTTCACTTATATATACTCATGTTTAATGCTTTTGCTCTTTATACTTCAAGAGGCCTTTTCTAAAGATGTGATTCCCTTGGAGGTCATTTCTTATCCCCAAGCCCCCTTGGACCAGGCTGGGGCATGAGTGAGTTTATTTGTCGATGCTGAGAGCCCAGAATAATGTCTTCTGAGGGAAGGCGAGCACGCTTCCACTATTCGAAGTTGTGTGTGTTTATCTCCTCCTCTTCCTTGCTTTTATTCTTCCTTCCCTCTCATCCGCCTGATCTATATGGAATACACGCACCCACTTGACTGCACTCCCCACCCCTCTGCTAGTCAGGAAGCAGACATTAGAGGGGCTGGACTTGAGATGCTGAAGGGAGAATTGAGGGGGGCCGAGAGCATCTGTTGGTCTAGGGAGCACAGCTCCTAGAATCGAAGCTACCATCATCTCACTCTTCATTGTGCAGTCGAGTCTATACCTTTTACAGACATTAAAAACTAGTGTCTTCATGCTTTGAAAGGTGAGAGGGATGCATTAGTTCCCCAAGTTAGGAAATGAGCGCTCAACACTCAGAATAACAGAGATTTCCAACGACTTCAAGGTGACCATTTCTATTTTATCTTTAACTTACAGACGGGTATGCTTTCTCTCAAGATGAAAATGGAATCGTCTCACAGTCTGAAGTGATTAGAGCCTATGATACCACAAAGCAGAGACCCGATGAGTGGTGACGGGGGGAGGGATGAGAGGCCAGCTCTGACACATCTCGAAGGGGAGCTCCCGGGTCTTCACCAGGATCTGCTGACCAATTCCAGCCTGGTCCAGGGAGGGGAAATGGATCTGAACTCATCTCATTGACTGACATTCAGATTCATGTATATTATAGACATAAGCACTGTGCAACTACACTGTAACACCATCTCTTTCAGATTTTCTAAAGTCTTTACTAAGTCTTTGTAAACAGAAATGGAAAATGACCTTGTATCTTGCCAGAGTGTTTTCTTAAACTGAGAATAGGTCAGCATTCTTATGCTGTTACTCTGGGGCTGCCACTAACTATCAGTGTCTTGGATATACCACAAAGCGACCGACCTTTACAAATCTCTAAAATGGTAGTAAGTTAAAGGGACTCCTTGATATCCATTTTAGATTTCAGAATATGCTGAGAAAAACCAGCCTTCTTAAGGAAGCGACTCACTGGGCAAAATTTCTAAACAAGACATTAATAATAATAAGTGTCTGTGTCAAAAATTGTCTTGATAAATGTTTGCCAAAGAAGTTTAATAAATGTATTTGTCATTCAGTAGTCATTTGCCCAGAAATTTAAGAGAAGGTTTACCTCTAGTTCTGCTGTAAGATCTGCATGCCTGACTTTACAAATCTAAGAGTGATTTGCAAAAACGAGTATTTCAAGGAATTTGCTACTAAAATCTGTGATGTTGCACCTTTAGCCTTACAAATGCTTCTTTCCCGTTCGTCTTGTCTATTTGTTCAAGTTGCAGTGCACACGTGGTATGTGACTGTCTTTATGATACTGATTTTTAAAACTGTATTTATGTCTCCATCCTTTCTAATGAGGTTTCATCGTCATTTAGATTTTTCTAACAACCTGGCTTCTGCTGTAGATTGAGTGATGTCATGTTGTCTTCGAGTTTTCTCTTTTAAGAAAAATATGCTTACATATTTATGTGAGATTTCCAATGCTTCTGTCAAGGTGTTTGGAATACCATGTTGGATAAATGCATGGGCCTTTGTAATGTCCGTAGACTCAGCTTTTGTCCTGTGTTTTGGTTTTCCCTATTAGTGCCCACTCGAGATGCCTGCTGTCCTCAATGGCACGCCCAGTGTTACGGTGACTGCCCTGTACATAAGACTGAGAATGACTTCACAGTTCACTAGTCAAGCAGCTCCCAAAATTAGTCACATACTGCTAATTGGGACAAATAAGTAGTACCTTTTACCCATTTTAAAAACACCTATTTTACTCAAGCCTATAACTTTACAAAGAAAAGTAGATTTTTGTTAATATGCTTTAAAATGTGTGTTCAGCTTATTTATTTTCAGCATTTCCAAGACATCTGAAAATGCCTATTTTGCCACCAACAATAAATGGTGAAGGGGCTGTTTAAAAACCACAACCAGTTTTCTACACTATTTTTAACATAATGCTTTCATGTGGAAATAAAAAGAATTCTAGCTTTCAGATACACCTCAGAGATTGAAGCAAACTTTTTGCCTTGTATTCAAAAGCCTCTTTGCCTTTAAGTGGACTTACCAGCAAAATAGGTACAACTTCCTCTTAAAAAAATAAGTCGACTACAAGTGAGAAGACAGGAGATTTTCAAATCACTCCTTGAGTTTAATAATTCACATCTTTTTCGTCCTTTTTCTCAATCTAGATTTAAAATTCAGCTATACATTATTTCCTTCTCTGTATCTTTAGCTATTTAGTTACCTGTATGCCTCCCACATTTTCTACACATAAGAGAGGTTATAACTTACATAATTTGAACTTAAAGGGGACAAGGAGTTGACATACTTCACTCCCCAGACCCTTCCCATTTGGGGATCAGATTAAGAAAATCATAAATTCAAACATCTAACAAGACCACAGGCGTAAGGGTCTAAGATCATGTTCGAAATTCAGATTTCACCGTCTTTGTCTACTGAATGACTATTCAGAGCAGCTTTTCTGGGCCTCCATGATGAGAGTTGAGGTCAAACCACAAAAAATGAAAAACAAAAACCAAGTACAACGAATAAGGATTTTTTAAAAAGAAGAATGAGGTACATCCCCCTGGAGGAACCCTTCATAGCAGTTCCAGAAAAGGGTTGCTTCCATTTCCCCTCACCTCATAGGTGACATCCTTCCCCAAAACTTTAATCTCAAAATGTGATGAGTGTAATAGAACTGAATTTTATGACTTAAACGAAACACTTTATTTTTATCCTGAAACATGGATCGTTTCTGTGGAGCCCTTCAAAATGAGTGGAAGACTCATGGTTAATCATGTGGAAGATCATGATCTGAAACATGACTAAGTTATGCCTTTTGGTCCCATGGATCTACTTTTGAATTATCAACATTAAGTCAGTCTCTTAGTTTCTTGGGTGGGAGTTGGGAGTAGGCAGCAAGGAGTGACCACCTTGGTAACACTTAAAAGATAACATTGCAATTGCAGTGACTTTGTAGTGTTAATTAGAGAAAAACCCTCTGATTCTTTAACCTTGGGTGGGGGGGTGGGGGAAGTAAGAGTTTTACCAGGATTAAAATAAACAGTTGAGATGACTTTTAACGTGTATTTTCTGAAATAAGGGGCACTCTTCGATTAAAAAGTCCCTTGTAGGAACTCCGGCAAATGCTAACACCGTTGCTTTGCAGTGTTTACAATTCGGAAAATACTACTTACTGCAGAAAATCCTCATTCATTTCACCCTGAAAAGCTGGAGCTTGCTTCTTTAGTGTTAACTAGTACACAGTGATATTGAGCATGAACTTTCTAAATGTTTTACATACTCATATAAAAATATATTGGTGTCTCCCACCCAGAAAGATGCTATATGGTAGAAATTATTAGCAGGAAAATGGTGTTTCTCAGGAATGTAGTAAATTTTAAATGACATATGTGCTGCCTACCCTCCCACACGCCACTCTGTCTGATGTGAGCCTGCTTCAGCAACGTGGCAAAGTTAATTGAAAGCTTTTTCTAATGAAGTCGGGTGAACGTGTATTCTATTCAGTATTAGCCATTTACATGAATTGTATGGCCATTGAATGGACTCAGCGATTCCTCTTAATTTCCAGGGGAAAAAATGAATTCAAGAAATCAACACTTATTCTGGTCATAACATTTTAATTTTGCAATTCTGCATTCTAAATATCCAGTATGAAAGTCACGTGATAGTTTGTTCTGCATTGTGTGCACGGTACAGCACTTGTAATCTGTCATTTAAATATTCTTTCAGGAAACAAATGCCATTCTGGAAGTAGTAGATTGCATATTCACAAGTTTTTATTTCTAAAAATGTCATCGTTATTACAAAGCTAAATAATCATTGGTGTTTATTTTTGTGCAGTTTGCCCTTTGATGTTTCCTGGTTCTAAAACTTATATTACCAAATAAATCTATAATTATGTACAAAATTCATTGAGAAAATTCCCACCCTATTCACATCATATGAACCAGACCTATGGAATTCTTTTTTGTAAATTATTTAATGTAACACCATGCAGTTCGGTGCCTAATAAATGCTTTTTAATGATCAGCATTTCTATAATGCCTCTTAAAGAGACCATAGTCTGATTTTTCTCACGTTAAAATAATTGAAGTCACTTGTGAAACTGTTATACTTTGCTGCATTTTAATTAGCCTTCAACAGCTATTAAAATGGAATGTAAGTTAAATTTTGAAGGAAAGGAAATAAATGTTTTCCATTTTTCGTCTTTATTTTCTATACGAGAGCAGCTGTGTTTTTGATAGGTTTATGGTTTGCATGAATTAATATGTAAAGTGGCCTATAGGCCAGTGCATGGCTATTGCTGTAAATCTTGATGTTTATTTCTGCCTTATAAAAGCCTCTCATGGCCTACCTGGAATTTCATATTCAGTGGACAAATTAATTGGTCCTCCACACAACTTTTTTTTAAGAAGTAAATTATTTTACAAACAAATTTGAACTAATTTAATTGAAACTTTTGTTTAGCTTGCCTCTAAGCACTTTTCTTAATAAAGCTCACAAAACTTCTCAGCAAATACATCTCCCTTAAGTAGGAAAAAAAAAAAGCTAGATTTCATACTCGCTTACTTTGAATTAACAGCAACTTTCCATAGGTGAATCTGCTCTCGCAAAGATGTGAGCAGAATATTTTAAAATATATATTTTTCTGTTTCATGGTTCTAGACTAGAAGCCATAAGTGCAGTAAATACTGTTTGTTTTACTACTTCAGGCTTCATTTTTCACATTTTCAAGTTTATTAGGTTAAAAAAAAGCAGCCTTGGAAGGCAGCTACTCTGGAAAATTGCAGTTTGCATTAAAGATAAAATAGTATTTTCAGCTCCATGAAAAACCGTTCCTGCCGAAACTGCTGTAGAAATTGTGAAGCTGCATGAGTGGAGAGTATTGAATCTGTGATTATAGTAGTTTTCTCAGGTGTGTTTATCTCGATGTTCAATGCACTGTTTTATAAATAGTTATTAAAGTCGAGTAATATTCAATTCTATGCAGTGTTATGTGTCATTGGCCTTTTGTGAATGTGCATGTTTTAAACGGCAAATTTTAAACATTTTGTTCTCTGATTGTTGTTAAAAATGAAATAAACTTTACCATTACATAAAGAAAATTGTTCAAGATTTAATTGCTAGTTTTAGAAACTATATTGCTTTATAAAACCCTCAAATCTGCTCTAACTATAGTCCGAGAAGGTGTATCTGTTTAATAACAATATTAACATTTTGTTTACAACCCCAGTGATATACAAAATATCCCTGCATTGTAATCCCATTCAACCCAACATAAAGTGGGGTATATTAACTCTAGTTTTGTATGAGCCGGTAGTTTTGATAAGTAAGTATCAAAAAAACAATTTTTAAAGTAAAATTACCGTATTTTGATTCTTCAGTCAGAAAAGCCTCCCAGGATTGTCCTCATTACAGATTTAAATCGGCCTCTAAGTCAACAGCTAATTCACGGCTCCTTCCTTTCACATAGCATGAATGTCTTAAGTTTTCTAAACCCACCGAAATTTTTTAAGTATATGAGAAAGTGGCCGCATTCAGCTAATAAAATTGGAAGGAAGTAACCAGAAGATACTAAAATTGCCACGTGAGACAAAAATACAGGAAACATTGGGAATGTGGACAAAAGCTTAATCAAAAATAACCATTGTTTGGTAAAAGGAACTGAAATGCAATTTGGAAAACTGCTAGAACAGGATTAGTTCACAGGCAAGCACTGGGCAAGCAATGTGAGCGGCCTCTGGTTTCATAAGAGCGAGGGGCAGTGTGTGCTTTGCCGTCTGGGGCCCG